GACTTCCTCCGCCGACCTGTTCCTTCAGGAGAGAACAGAGAAGAGGTGCAGGCAGCGACAGAGCTAAAGGCTAGCATCTGTAGGGACATGTGAGGTGGCTGTCCCTGCTGTGTCCTTCAGGGCTGAGGATATAGGAGTGTGGAGGTCTGAGCCCTGTCCCTGGTTTGGTTTGATTGGGGCTGTAATAGCTCAGCAAGGGAGGCAGAGGTGGCTGTGGAGTAGGGCTGTGGCTGACTGATTTCATGGTGGGTCTAGATCTGTGCTGGGCAGTAAGGTGACCACCCCCAGGACAGAGACACCTGTCTCAACACACACACACACACTCTCTCTCTCTTCCTCTCTCTTAAAACACATGGATCAGAACAGGGGCATGTCTGGAATCCAGGTCATATGAGTGATGGTTGAAGGGACCAGAGGTATTTACTCTAGAGAAAGGGAGGTGGAGACAAGAGAGCCACCTTCAGATATTCCAGCTTGCCTTGTTTTACTGAAATGAAGTATGGTTGACATGCAGTATCATACTGGTTTCAAGTGTACACCACCATGATCCCACAGTTAACTACATGATTAAATGCCGACTCTGGCTGGTGTGGTTACTCTCTGTCATCATAGAAAGCTGTTACAGTATTACTGACCATGCCCTCTACACTGCACTTGCATCCCCATGTCTAATTTGTTATGATTGAGATTTTGTGCCACTTTATTCCCTTTAGCTATTTCACCCCCAGTGCTACCCCTCCCCCCTAGGTACCACCTATCACTTCTCAGTGTCTATGGAACTATTGCTGTTCTATTTATTTGTTTTGTTTTATTTTTTAGATTCCACATATAAATTAAATCACAGAGTATTTGTCTTTCTCTGCCTGGCTTATTTCACTGAGCATAATGCAGCGGTTGCCTGTCTCACGGGTAAGGGAGAAGACTTACCTCACTCCTGCCGTTTTCTAATCCTGTAGTTCTAGAGAGAACCATGGAACTGAGGCTTAGACGATACAGGAAAACAGGTTATGACTCAATCGTGTCTCACAATTCTTTCCATCTTACAGAGGAATTTGGTGGTGGGTCCCTGATCATTGGAGAAATTTACATGAAGGCCTCATGCCCACTTACCTGGGAGACTGTAGTGGGGACTCATGGGAAAGGTAGAGGGTCAGGTACCATGACCTTCAGGTTCCTTCCCAATTCTTGAAATTTTATGATTCCACAGAAGAGTCACTTGACATTTAGAAAGTAGTTTTCAATGAACACATATGCTTATTTTAACTACATTTTTTATAGTTTCCAAAATGTTTTGATGAATATGTATTGCTATTATAGTGAAAAAGATACATATAAAAGCTCAAGTTAGCATCAAGTCCTATAAGACCACATGGCCTGCTGGGCCCTGAGGAGGATGGAGTAACTGTACAGCAGCAGGAAGTGACTTTGGAAAGCAATCTGTGGAGGCAGGTTTTGAGCTGGATGGTCTTGACCTTCTCCACCACTTCAAACCAGACTACTGTCGCTTGGGGAGAGAATTTGATCTTCACTCCGGTGGCATGCTGTGGGCAGGCCACCCCCATGGGCAGGCCAGTCCAAATCCCCTGGCTCCAGGCCCCAGGACATCTTCTGCAGGCTGGGACCAGCGATCTGCAGTGACTTTTTTCCTGGCCGTGGTCCCTGGCACACATAACGTTCTCCATCTCTTCAGAGTATGGCTCACAATTATGTTTCCAGACCCACCCCCAGATGACCTGGGGCTCCAGGACTCTGGGCTGCTATGTGGCCTCTTGGTTTCACAACAAAGAGAGAACAAAGCCTGTCAATGAAAGGCTTTTGCTGAAATTTTGAGACACTTTGCAAGTGTCTTTCTGAGGTTCGGCGGTTCATGCTCTTCCAAATGTTTGCTCTCTTTCTGTCTAGCTCCTTCAGGTCCAGATAAAATTCTCTGAGCCCCTAGGCCTCTTGGCTTATGCTTATTTGCATGGCTAAGTAACCAACACTTCAGATGGGCAGGAAGCCAATGGAAACAAACTCTGCTTCTATACTAGGTTCAGAGAGGACTCTGCATAAAATACTTTCCATTTTAGGTAGAAGGTAGAAGGTAGAAGGGGAGAGGGGGCCAATAGGCAGGTGTGCTTCATATCAATTAGCAGCTTTCTGCTTCTAATTGTACCTCTCCTATGGAACAGGGCCAGGGCTAGCACAAAGGAAAGAAAAATATTATAGGAGCTGCGTTATCTGGGGGAGAGTTTCATGTCTGAGAAACTTGGTTTGCCCTGTGAAACGACTTGGGTCGTAGGCCCCACGTTGTGGAGAATTTAGGGCAGCTGGTCAACAGGACACCAGCTGAGGGTCAGAACCTCAGGGAATTCCCAAGGACTTTGAACACTAACCTCTGGGTTCCGGTTTCACAAGGGCTCAGAAGGGAGGGGCGGGTTCTGTGATTGGCAGCTTCCCCCAGAATCACAGGGGCTGAGTGGGGAAAGGAGCTGGCCCCTGCACAGGGAAGTGGAGAGCAGAGCAAGCAAGCTCACAGTTGTGTCTCACACTGTGATGGTGGCTTGTGAGCCAGGCTGGGGGGCCGGGGGACTTGAGTGGGGTGGGGGTTGGGGGCTGCATTCCTCTCAGGGAGTGAGAGCAGTTGCAGACTGTGGGGATGCTACTGTGTTGGGGACAGGATGCTCAAAGCAGCAACACTAATTCTCTGTAATAAAATCCATACATTTCCATCCTAGCTTCTTCAGAAGGTTCTGGATGTGTTTCAAGTTTCCCCAGAAGTGAACAGTGCAGGTGAGTCCTCTGTCCTCTGGCTTCTGGGCACTCCTCCTGGCCTGGAGCCTCAAGAGACAGGGCAGCTTCTAAGTGTGGAAAAATGTTTATTTCCTCCACCAACAACATTCCTAGTTTTAAAAGTTTCTTCACTCTCTAGAGTATTTTTTAGCACAGATATTTTTGATGAAAACATGAATACCCAGCCAGCGCCCTGACAGGAGGGGCAGCTGCAGGCTCCTGCTCAGAACACAGGCCTTCCTCCGCTGATGATTTTCCCAGAGCAGGAGCCCTGGGGGGCTGAACCCAGCTGGGGGGAGCAGGGGGCTTTCACCCAGGGCCAGTCAGGTCTGCAGGTAGACACAGGAGCAGCTGCACAGCACTTCCCTCCCACCATAAAGTGGGAAGGGGTGGGCTCAGGAAGCACCTAAGGACCCTGGGCTCAGGATATCACATACCTAATTCAGAGGATCAGCCATTGTTCCTCCTTTTTTGGGGGTCCCCTTTCTCCTCCTGCTACCAGCCAAGTGACCATCTCAGAACTCCTGGTTTTACTGTGTAAGAGGGTCTCCAAGATCTGGTGGCCACATCCTCCCCTTCGGCACTTTTCCAGTCCTGCAGCTCAGGGCGGGCCCTGGCAGCTGGAGCCATGTGATCGTGGCTGGGGAGGGGTCATGGCTGGGGAAAGATCCTGGCCGGGGAGAGGTCATGGTTGGGGAACTGGACCCTGGCTGGGGGCCCGCGATAGTGGCTGAGGGCGGGGCCAAGGGCTCATCTCCTGCTGAAGGGGCCACCAGGCCACTGCCCTGCAGCCGGTTCCTCCCCTCCCCTCCTCCTGTCCCTAACTACTCAGGCCAAGCTCTGTCACTAGTAACAAGTCCTCGCGGGACCCCAACACTTGTTCCCCAAGTGCACGGCGCCACCCACCAGCCCACTCAGGAGGACCCTTCCAGCTCAGCCTGCACTTGGGGTGGGGGAGCCCGGGAAAGACGCCTTCGTTTTGTCACAGCCCCTGCCTTCCAGTCTGAGGAGGGCTCCTTTTGGGTGGACCCTATTACTCACCACTGGGAGAGAGGCAGTCGCCCTCCCCAGGGACGCAGACAGATGCAGGATCAGGCAGTCATGCGCTGCCTCATTCCCAGTGTGCTCGCAGCCTGGGCTGGACCACTGCATGGGGATCCCCTGGCCAAGGGCATCCCTCTGAGGCAGTGAGTACTTGGAAGATGCACGGGACCTAGAAGTGCTTCCCGGATGCTGGGGGCCCTCTGAGTGCCTAGAGTCATGCCTGCCTGGGCTTTGACGCCTGGTTTCAGCAGGGACTGAAGTCAGCTGGGCACGGATGCCATTCCAGAGCCTCATGGGGGGTCCAGAAGGTTGAGTCAAAAATCTCGCTGAAAGATCACACTTGGAAGCAGGTTACCTAGCCAACGGCCACATCAGGGTGGGTCACAGCAGCTCTGGGAGGATGGGCCAGAGCACCAGTAAGGAAACACCCACCATGCAAACTGTAGATGGGCCCATGCCGGCTCCCCGTCAGGCACCCGAAATCAGGGGTGTTCTGGCAGCCGCAGCATGGGGCGGACTGCCAAGTAAGACCCCGGGTTTGAAGGCACTTGGGAGTTTCTTAATTCCAAACACAGCCCTTTCATTCAACTATTAAACTCGGCTATTAGGTATCATCTTGTGACACTGCCTCTGCTTGTCGAGAGCTTGCCGAATTCCTATTTGCTGTCTCACCATTTGAAGTTCCCTTCATCTGCAGCTGGATAAGATCCCTAGTCTTCATCCCATTAAGAAATGTTGGCTGGACCACAGCAGCCTCCATTCCTGCAGTCTGGGCTCCTAACTGCTCTTGCCCAGCTTCTCACATACGCAGGAGACTTGGACGAAGTGGGTCGCAGACACTTCCCTCATCAGCCAGTCTAACAGTCAAGGGAAAGTGCATTCTGTCCTGGTAAACTAGTGTCGGTCCCCATGCTCTATTTAGGGTGTAAATTCTCACTTACAAAGAGATCATATCACCAAAGACGTGGGCTTTTGGGGAGTAACTTGTGCAAGCTCCCAGGAGAAGTGGTCTGTGGAACGAAAGGTCTGGAAAGGGCAAAGCCCATTTGGAGAAGGGTGACCCACATAATGGAAAGGACACCAACAGAATGCTTCAGAGGGAGGAGGAGGTGGCATTGGCGACCCTATCAGAGACCTGTCCATTTATGCAAATGAGAGGACACAGGGATCTGAAAAGCCACCAAAAAGGTCACATTTATGTTTATTACATAGAAAAGAGGGAAAGGAAAAGTTTCCAAAGGATCTAAAAAGACACAAATGTGGAATGCCAAAGACATGCCATGCTTTATATAATAGGAACATATAAATATGTACATGGAGGTATGTACACAGGTTTTTATTGTCATACACGGCACTTTTCATTACATGTACAGCAATGGTGCTTGAGTTAGGAATTGTAAAGCTGGCAGAACACAGCAGAAATTGGAAGACTGCTCAGCGTCCAATTCAGAGGGCACCGTGGAGACCCTGAACAGCAGCAGGCAACTCTACCCGCAGCTTGGCCCTGCACACACCGGGAAAGCTAAGCTGCAGGCAGGCCTGGGCCCCAGGCTGCATGGAGTGGGCCACAGCAAGTCTGGACGCTGCCCTCTGTCCCTGACATTAGAACTTCCTTCCTCTTTTGGAACTGAGGAAGGCTCCAGTCATCGGATGGGCTAGGCTGGATCCCAAGGGAAGCTGGTAGGGGTGGAGTAAGCCCTCAGTGGGTCTGAGAAGTCAGAGTAGAAATCCCAATAGATCAGAGAGTGGACATTGTTGGAGAATAGAAATATACAGCAGTTAATTTAACAGAAAGAAAAACCCAAATGAAGTCAATCACTAGATCAAAAACTGCAAATCACAACATGACATACATCCATAATAAACCCAGCTACTACACACAGACTCCATGTTGTTCCTATGCTTGCTGTTTAAAACCAGTTAGTACCAGGTGCAACAGCATGAGCTCAGCCTAGGAAAGGGCCAGCCAAGTGTTCCCACAGGGAGCCAGGCTGGTTACAGCCACCAGCACTAACACAGAAAAGTGGGGTGGCTGTGGCCTTCAACCCCCTTCTCTTCTCACTGGTCTCTATACTGGGGCAGGTGGGAGGGTTGTGGGAACAGAAAAGTGCCTCAGAAGAGAGGGTTGTCAGCAGCCCTCAGGAGCCCAGAAAGAGACCTCTGTCCCCTCTCTCTGGGTAGATGCATCTTGCTCCTCCACAGAAGGTGGCACTGCAGGTGCAGGGGTCAAGGCAGGGCAGGGGGAGCACAGGTGGGTTTTGGGGGAGGAAGAGATTCAAGCCCAAGGGCCCTGGAGAGAGCAAACAGTGTGTATACCTGGGCCTGGGTGGAGGGACAGATGCTGTCAGCCAGAGCCCATGTTGGCCACGGTCAGCTCCTGGATGTGGTGCGGGCGCCTTGGGAGATGGCAAGTCCTGGTCATGTCTCCCGACACTGTCCTGCCTCCACCCCACAGTCAAAGGAACAGTGAGTGTGCATGTGTGAGTGGGTGGGTGTGTCTGAGAGTGCACAAGAGTGGGTACAAGTGTGTGTATCTGTGAGGGTACAAGTGTGCATGTGTCCATGTGTGAGTGTGCATAAGAGTGGGTTGAATGGGTGCAAGAGTGTGTGTACACAGATGTGTGAGTTTGCAACAGTGCAAGTGTGGGTGCATGTGTTTGTGGGCAAGTGGGTGCAAGTGTGTGTGCAAATGTCCATGTGTTTGTGTGGGCAAGTGTATGTCCACGCTTCTTCCCACTTGAATGGATGTGTGGTGGGGGTGGTGACCAGCCTGGAGGTTGGCATTTTGGCAAATCCAGCAGGAGGGAGAGCGGTTGGGAAGGGAGATTCCACTGTAAATCTGAAGTGAGGAACAACTTGTACTAGAAATCAGGACACATACAAGTAGGACCCACCTTATCACCTCCCTGCTGTGTGACAGGATCAGGAGGGGATACTGAAGCTCTGCTGGGGTCTCTGACTAGAAGGTGGCCAGCCCCTGGACCTGAGGCCTGCCAGGGACCAACCCCCCTGCCTCTGCCTTGCCCAGGTGGGGGATCGTCCTCCAGGCCTGGTGCTCTGACAGAAATGGGAAGAGCGACGGATGCCCAGGCCCCCATCTACTGGAGATGGTCAAACTGAGGCAGGAGAGAATGGCCACTAAGTCCAGAACTTACCCCAGGCTTGGGGGCATTTGGGATCACTCTGCTTGGGGCTCCCCCACTGTCAGCAGAGGGGTTCACCCTATGTCCATGGGACGGAGGGTGGGCCCACAGCAACCCCTGTGATCTCATGAACATCATGAAGTCCCAGGAATCTAGCTGGAAGAAACCCAAGGGAACGCCGGCCACCTGCTCAGGCTGCCTCAGCTTCCTCCCCATAGCCGGCCCCTCCCCGACAGCAGCAGGGCCCAGGCCCAGGCCTGGGGGGTCCCCTCCTCTCCATGCACCCGCCTTTTCCCTAGAAGGCAGGGCTGGCAGGCAGCAGCCCCCTTGCTGTGAGGCCTGCCTGAGGCCTGCCCAGGGGCCCAGGAGACAGAAGGAACCCTCTCTGTTCAGCCTCAGGTCAATTCTGTGGGAGCGCGTGTCAGCAGACAAGCAGTGGCTCCAAACTGCTCCCCCCACCACAAGGTCAGGGTCAGTGCATGAGGGTGCTGTGGACATGCTTCTGCACCTCTGACCCCCTGCTGAGAGCCCTCCAAAGCGACCAGCAAGAGGGAGGGAGATAACAGTGGGCCAGGGCCACCACCACTCACAGGATTGATGTTTCAGTCCCAAGGCACGTACACAGCGAACCACGCTTGAGGCTTTCCTCACTGCGACACTTACAGGGTGAGGGCATCCAGCATCCCCACTGGCCGGGGTGGGCCTGGGGCCTCTGCGGCCAGACTTCTGCCAGGCTCAGGCCCGGGGCCCAGGTGGAGTGGGAGCCGAGCACAACTGAAGTGACCCTCACAAATTCACCCCACCGGGCAGGGAAGGGGGTGCACTAAAGAAAACTTCTTAGATTTTTTTGTTTTTTGAAGAGTCAAGCTGGTCCAGGAGATCCTCCACAGCTCAGCCCCTCACTTCCTCCTTATAAGCCCCAGGCCTGGAAGGGGTGCTCCTGGTCCTGGGATCCAGCCCCACCTGGTTGCCTCAGCTCCGTGTGTGGTTTTTCTCCCTGAGACCCTGACCCCTGCTCCTCCAGGGGCAGCTGAGCACGGGGCTTTCTTCCCTTCCTGTAGGTGCCTCCCCACTGATCCTGGGCCCCCAGGAGTCTGGCTGAGGCTGAGGCTACGGCTATGCCTCTGAGAGCGGTGGGTGGGGAGACCAGAGCCCCTGGAGGGACAGCTAGTGTCTGGGTCCTTCCCTTTAGGGCCAGCAGCCCCCCACGCAGCTCCAGCACTGAACACCACTGCCAGGTGGCACTATGGGGCAGCCCTTCCCGCCTGCCTCCAGCCAGGGAGCATGTGTGAGGGCTTCCTGGGATGGTGACCACAGGGTGGGCTGTGGAGGCCTTCCGGTTCTTTCTGAGGGCTCTCTCGAGTCCCCTCCAGGTGACTGCTCCTGGCCCCTGAGACCTGCTCCCTCCTGGGAGGGCTGTGATAGGGCTGTGGTCAGCTCTGGCCCATGAGCCGTGTGTTTGGCCCATTCCTTAGCTCTGACGTCCGAAAGCCCAGCACGCTGCTGCCCTGCCGCCAGGCTGCAGGAAGGGTCATACATCAGATGGGTCACACCATGCCTGGGCAAGGCGCAGCATCTGAAGGCTCTCCTGTCACTCCTTGTCATGGGGTCTGGGGCAGCAGAGGGAGGCATCTTGCTCCGTGTCCCTCAAGTGCAGCCAGACTGGTTCCCAGGCCAGGGCAGGGGTGGGGTGGGGACTGGAGCCGTCCACCCCCAGCTGCTCCCACAGAGGCCCTGGTTTTCCCGTCTGAGGTCTGTGGCTCTCAACAGACTCAGAGTTAAAGATCCAAGCCAGTCTCCGCTGCCCCCAGGACACTCCCAGGCCACCAGTGGCTTGTTCTTTCCCTAGGGTCCTGCTCTGGCTGAGGGAACTGCCACTCTGGTCCAAGTGTCACCGTTAGGTCCTGGGAGCCTCTTGTTCACCACGGAGCTCTCTACGGGCCTGCGATCCCTGCCCCAAATGGCTGCGGCCAGGGAACCACCTGCAGGAGTCTGACTGATGAAAGGGCCGAACCGGAAACGTGCTCTGGGACCTCCTGACTATCACCCTTGTGCTGTGCCACCAGGCAAGCCCAGCTCTGTCACCAAGGGGCTGTGTGTCAGCCCAGCACTTGTTGGCACAAGAGCCCTTTTTCAGCTGACTGGTGTTTAGTAAGTGACTCTGGCCATCCAGCACCTGAGTGGCCAGCTCACATACTTGCAGCCACTAGCCACTGCCCCTTATCTAATGCAGACAGTAATGCTGAGACCGTGGTCTAATTTAGGGGGATGCTGTTTTGAGCTGATTCTGCCCACATGGCTGTCCTCACAGACTCCTTGTTCAGAAGATGGGCGGGGCTCCTCTTGGTTTCTTCCACACAACAGTTCCCTGGAGAGGAGCTTCCTCCTGAGGCTGATGGAGAAGCAGCCTGCAGCTGAGGGGAGATGTCCTTCCAAGCACACAAACCCCTGAGTCAAGCCATCCCACACAGGGACTCATGGTGACACCTGTCACTCAAGAAAATCCCACTGGTGTAGGGATTGTGTTAATAAATATGTGACATAAACTGCTCTTTCTTCTCTGTCCCTCAGCAGCCGCCCCCAGCCAAGCCGGGAGAGGCAGCTCCCACCTGAGACCTGCCATCACAGAAGGGAGGTGGGCAAACATAGGGCAGTGGTTTGGGATGAGAGGCTGTGGGCAGCTGGGCTGGGGGAGGGCTGGTGGGCCTGGTATTCCCCTCTGTGGAAGCTGTTTTATCTGATTTCAGGAAGGCTCTGTTCTTCGATGCAGCCTTGAGAGTAGCGAGCAGCCAGTCTGCTCTCCCTGGGCCTGGAGGATGCTGTCTTCACACAGCAAAAGGGTCTAGCTTTCTGGATAAAGCCAAATCTGATTCCAGCACCTTGAAAACACAGAGGCTTCCAAACACAAAAGAAGCAGCAAAGGCCTGGGTGGGGATCAGGAAGGAAGGAGGGCGGGAGGAGATAAAGATCCTGCCAGGTGCCCTAAACAGTGCAGCCAGCCCCGGGCAGTGATGGAAAAGGGACAGGACACTCATCATAGTAAGGGTGGATGGTGGGGTAGGATCAGGCCAGAAGCAGAGGGCCCACCTTCGAGTTGGGGTGCAGGGGTGGCAGAGTGGCTGGGCAGAGTTCCATCTTTCCCCGGATGCCACAAGCTGTCCAGTCCCTAGGGAGCTGGGCTGCTTCCTGGAAGGCTTGTCATTAGAAAGCCTAGGGGATGGGGTGGGTGGGCCACTGCCCCCAGACAGGGCATTTAAGAGCAGAGATTCTGCAAGCAGAGGCTTCCAAAACTGCTCACAGCAGAGCAAGGGGCCTGTCCCCACATGTTCCCATACAGCAACCAGGAAAGGGGCCAGCCAGCCACTTCTCCTGCCCTGGCCGAAATCCAGCTGAGCCCCTGACTGAGCCCCTCAGAGAGGGACACACCCGATGGCATGGAGTCCCGTGGGGTTGGAAACTAAGCTTTGGGCCAGTCCCACACTGGCACTTCCTGTGTTAGAATGAAAAATGAAAGACAGACGTGTATGTCCACCTCATCACCGTTACTTTGGATCTCCTGTCTCTTAATTTCGGGTCATTATTTCCTGACCCTCGGGGGCCTGGACAGCGTCTGTTGGTTCTTCCCTCTGTTGGGATCTAACTCTGTAGCAATTACTATTGAAGGGCCTTGAAGGGCCACTGGGAGGCATCCGGGTTTAGTGCCAACAGAGTCACCCTAAAGCATCTGCTTGCAAGAAGGATTTTCAGAGAGAGGTCCACAACCCCACACAATTTTTTTTTTGCAATTCTGAAACCCCAAAAGCTCTCAAATGGTAGGTTTTCTCCTATTCAACTTAAACCATGATGAGGCTATTTACAGTTTTTATTAATCCCATCAGTCTGACGATTCACCTGCTTCTCTGCAGAAATAATCCTGTGCTTGGTGGTGGGAGATGTTCCAACTCTGTCAGGGTGTCAGGAATTATAGAGCAAATGTCTCTTACCCCCTTTCCTAAATACTACATTTCTGAATTCAGAGACCTATTTGGCCTTAAGATTTCAGAATAAGGACTGTGGTCCAGAATTGGTGTTAAATATAATGTGAGAGGCTGTCAGGCTGGGTTCTCTCCAACCATGCTCTCTGTGTGTGAACATTCGGTGGTTCCAGCAGTTTTGCCCAGGGGTTGAGCACTGGCCCCCTTCCGGGGAAACAAAGGTCAAAACACACTGAGGCCTGGAGATTTCAGTGGTAAGAAGTGGGGTGGCTGCACTAAGGGAGGGCAGGGCCAGGAGATATTTATGGGGAGCTGCCCCACTGCTGCCTTGGGCCTGCTAAGGGCACAGTGGACCTTTCCATGCTGGGCTGGGGTTTCTCCAGCCTCACTTCTGCCCTGGTGCTGTCCCCAGAGACCACAGCAGAAACACTTAGGTAGGGGCTGGGGACCCAGAGGGCACATCCACCACAGTCCCGGCCCTCAGTGGTGCCCTGCTCCCCGGCACAGGGCCCTCAGCAGCTGGCCATGGGCAGTGTGGTGGGGGTGAGCCCACACATTCCAGACTCTGCCAGCACCTGTCTCCACCCCACTTCCTGCCCCACTCGACATGCTCTGGGGGCCTGCCCCTACCTTCTGGAGCAGGGGGAGGGGCTGGCAGCCCTCAGAGCCTGCTGAGAAAAGCAGGTGTGTTCTCAAAATAAATAATACTTTAAAAATCTCCCCTTTCCACTCCAAACCCAGGAACCAGCAGAAAAGAACATGTAAAGGTTCTTGTGCCCATCACTGCCTGTGGGGCTCCCATGAGACCACCTGGGCTTCTTGGCAGCTCCTGGGGCTCACAGCTGCTGTGGGATGCCCTGCTCCTTGTAGCCTGTGAGAAGAAGCAGAGGACAGGTAGTTAGATGCCTGCCTCCTTCAGGAGTTCTTCAGGAGGTGTCCCTAGACTAAGAAACACTTATGAGAACTTATTCACACTGAGGTATAAATGGCTGCTGCAGTCAGAGTCCAACTTTTCCCAAGGAAATTGGTGTTTTAGTGGGAAACAAAAGGAAGAGTGGAGAATTGTGGAACTCTGGGTTTAGGGGAGATATATGAGAGGAGGGTGTCAGGGTGGGGGTGGGGTATCAACATGCTTCTGAATTGTGCATTGTGCGATGTGTACGAAAAGGCTTCACCAGACTGGCCTAGTATGGTTTCCCAATGCAGAGCCTGGGAAGCAGGTATGAGCAAACTTCCCCAAGGGAGGGCCACCAGGTATACGTGGCACATGAGGACAGAGAAGAGGAGGGAGGAATGGGGGCAGACAGCACACAGAAGGCGTACCACGAACGCATGCAGTCCACTGGACATCTGTGACACAGGTAGAGGTGAATGAGGGCTTCAGGCCTTTAGATATTGTGGATATGAGACCATCAGGAAAATCTAAGCACTGTTGACATGGGGGAATTGTTGCCAGTTTGTATGGGTATGAAAGGGTATTATGGTTGCTTTTTTTTTTCTTTTTGTAAAAAATGATACCTACAGAAATATTTAGGTTGAAATTAGGAGCCTGGTATTGCTGAATGGTCCTCACCCCATGAACTGGTAACTTAGCCCACAGAGGAGCGTCTGTGGACTTACTGTTTTTTCCTTCTTATTTATCAAGTTATTCATCAATTTTAGGTGCCAGTAATGGTCTATAGGGGTGGGGAAGATGCAGGGAAGGTGTCAGATGTAACCAATGAAACAAAGTGGCCATGAGCTGACAATTGTTGACGCTGCTATGGGTGTTTGGGGCTTGTCATACTGGGTCTTCCCCTTTTGTCCATTTTTAGATGTGTTCCTAAACAAAAAGTTAAAAATAAAAGCCCAGGGGCCAATTGGGGGAGGACCCCAAGTCTGTGCATCCATCAGACTCACCTTGGGAAACTTTGGAGCAACACAGGGATGTGAGGCAGCATGAGGAAGGGGAGAAAAAGAGAAAGAGAAAGCACTCTGAAAACCAGGCCTGGGCCTACCTGAAATACAAATAGGGAAGGATGCACAGGCTCAGGTGTTCATGGCAGCCAGCAACCAGCAGCCAGCCCCATCGGCGTGTGGCAGGGGGCTGCAGGTGTGCACAGCAAGGGCTCCATCCCCAGGCTCACACCTGGTGGAACTCTGCCAAGAAGCTCTCTCCAACACATCGCAGCCACTCACACTCTTCTGCTCTCCTCCTGACCCTCACTTTTTTTTCATCCCCAACCCACGTTTGCCTTGAAAAGAATTCTGGGTGGGCCTCAGGACAGACAGCAACAGGACAGGTTTGACTATGACTGCCTGATGGTGTTGAAGTGACCCTCCTGGCAGTAGCCTGGCTCTGTCTGAAGCCATGTGGCTTGCCTTTTATATGCACAGGAGCCACATACACCAAAACCAGTGCTTTGGGAAAGACCCGGGCCCAGGGAAGGCAAACAGGTTTTAGCCTGTGGACATCTTGTATCAATTGGCAGCCACTGCCTGAAGCCCTGCATTGAGAACATGTGAGACTGTTCAGCAGGAGTCATGATTGATCAGCAGCATCCGCCATGGGTATGGCAGGAGAAAGCAGCTACTGTCACACTAAGTCTGATCCCACGATCAAGACAGGCCTGTGGTGCAATGTTACTTGTTATTAATATAAATACAGCAGCATGATTGTAAGTTCCTGATTTGAACCTCTACTGTGATTTTTATTTCTCTGATTCCCCTCTTAGGAGTTTTTCCTGATGGTGTGTTTGTTGGTGACACCCTAGACAATGCTGGGAAAAATCATCCTATATTGTTGACAACTGAAAAGTCCCTTTATTTTTACAGGCAGGGGCTGGAGGGACACCAGAAAGCACTGTCCCTTCCCAGCTGTGTACTAGGACAGACAGGTCAGTCATGGTTATTCCTTTCAAAGTACTCATCCTGGGACACACACACTCCATTGCTGCTTGGATTCATCCCAGCCTATGGCACCATCTCAAGAATGATGACTATTCATCCTTGGAGGGTGGGCTGGCTTTCTGGAGGAAGCACAGAGGCACCCCTGCAGAGATGGGTGAGGGAAGGGGTGGCCAGCAGGGTTTAGTGGGGAGCAGGCAGGCGGGTTTTCTGGTACAGCCTGCAAGTCCACCCCCAACTGTGTTCTAAAAGGTCTGATGCAAGGAGCCGCCTCTGATCTGAGCGAAGGCATGGGGTGGGACGGGGGCTCTCACACTTGATTATCCTGCAGCTGGTGATGGCCTTCACATCAGCCATAAGGAGGGGCTCCTGGCTGAGTCAGCAGCCCAGGGTGGTGGAAAGTAAACAAGTGACTGGGTGTGTCTCTTCATCTAGGACAGGATAAAGGGAGCTCCCTAGGTTAGCCTCCCATCCAGACCCTGTAATTCCTGAGTACAGAGGATGACCAAAGGACACCAGAAAGTCTAGGGATCAGATTAGACATCAACATGCATTCACTGAGACAAGCCTGTGATATAGGTGTATCCACTTTAATGGCGAGGGTCCGCTGAAGTCACGGGGGCACAGGCACTGAGAGGGGTCAGGGCCTTTGAAGGGCAGACATGGGGCAGCCTTCACTGGTCTTGGAACTGCTGCTGAGGACGATTTCCTGAGCAGATGCACCTTCCAGGTTCCAGCTGGGGGCAGGGCCAGGAAGCTGGCAGCCACCCTGCAGGCCCCCAGGGCGGTGCCAAGTGCCCCCTGGGAGACTGTCAGATTTTGCAGCAGCTCATTCTTGTTGGCCATGTCCTGTGGCCCCAAATGGAAGCACCCCCTGGGCACAGCCACAGACCCCCACCAGGGTACTGGGGTGCTGTGTCTCATCTCTGCCACTCTGCCTGCTCACCTGCCCTGAGGACAGCCCTCCCCTGCGGAGGGGCACCCCTGACCGCTCCTGGAGCTCTCCTCCCATTCTCCAGCTGTTGGAGGTCCAGGGTTGCCCTGGTTTGCCCTAGAGCTGGACACCCCAGCAATCCAGCCAGCCCCTCAACCTCAGCTGCTGGAGGACCTGCTCCAGGCAGCCTGTCTGACCAGTCCACAGGCCCTGCTGGACCTTGCACAGGTTCTGGTATTTTCCCTGGTCAGGTGGCTTGACTGATCACTGGCCTGAGGCCTGCCTGTCCTGGCATATGTGTGCCTGGGTTTTGGATCCTCACAGGATCCTGAACTCAGGCTGAGTTGGCTAAAGATCATTCTAGAACATTCCAGGCCCTGAGCTTCCCCTCCTGTCTCTGCTGTCCTACCTGGCATGGCTTACCCCAGTAACAAGACTGCCTGCAAATGGCTGGGCTGGGTGTAGGACACAAAGAGCATGGGATGAAGAGAAGGGCCAACTCCCTGAGGGGAGGTGGTTCCATTAGTGAGGCATATGGCCTAATGAGGAAGGGCAGAGGGCAGGCATGGGGGCATGTGGCAGTGTCCTGGGCTGCTTAAAACAGGTGGTGTCTGTCTTAAGACCTTGGTAGGCTATCTTTAAAATGTTAATCAAGTCCTCTTTGGTAAACTTGATTTTGTAATGTTAAGCCCTTTTGCAAAACAGTTTTTCTAAATCGATTATTTGTCAAATTATAGGTAAACACAACAAAGAGCTTAGATGAAAAGAAAATTATGTAATTTCTGGCAGTAAAAACACAGTTATAGAGTTTCCTGTGGGCAGGCATTCCACATGGCCTTTCCCTTCTTTCTGGAAACTGCATGATGGAAAGGAGAGAACAGTGGGCCAGGGGCCTGAGCTCCGTGGGCCACATACTTGCTCTCTGGCAATGTCAGCTGTCTGCATCCTTGACAAGCAGACTGTCTGCCATGCCTGCTGAACAGAGGTCCTGGGTCTGCTACTCATACGCTCTGGTCAGGTCTGCCACCCACACTCATGATTCCCCTCAGCATGGGAGCTGGGCCTGCAGGGAGGATCCTCTAAGGCCAGGAGCTCCAAGCACTAGTAGGGAGGACACAGGTGAGCCTCTTGAGCACCTGCTCTTGCGGGGTGGGGAGCAGGCCCAGCTCTGCAGGTCTCCCTGTGAAGCACCCACACCCTGCAGGGCCACCGACACCCAGGCCATTCTGGTTCTTGCCCCCCTCCAGCCCTGCTCCCAGAAGCATGGTGCTGGCAGCTACTCACTGGCGAGGATGACCATGTCCATGCCCCAGAAGATGCTCATGATCCAGCCCACCATAACGATGGCTGTGAGGACCTGGATGAGGGCCGCGGCAATGTTCAGCCAGAAGACACAGCACACATGCCTGTCTGGGAGGTCAGTGCGGGCTCCGCACAGGACAGTGAAGGCTGAGACGAACGTCCCTGTGAGAGGCCAGAATGGACAGATTTCTGAGCACTTGGAGACACAGTGGCACTTGCACTTATTGCCACGTGGGGTCCGGCTCCCCACCTCCCAGAAGCTTGGAGAGAAGCAGCTGGCATCCAGCACCTTCCCACTCAGACCCTAGCCCACCTCTGGTCTCCACATCAGAGACCAATGCTCCACCTGGGAGGAGGCATGGCCAGGGCTACCAAGGGCCCAGCATGGTCCTGGTGTCTTTAGGGGAGCACAAATGTCCTGCCATTAAGGAGCAAATGTGCAGCCACCTGCAAGGACCATGGGCAGCAGGTAGAAAGGGCACAAGCCTCGTGTGGCAAAGATTCTAAGGGCCTAACAGTTCAGAAATAGGAGTCGGTGTCCTGGGGGTGACATGGAAGCCACCCACAGAGGTCAACTCCGGGAGTGATGCCCAGCACATTTGCTGATTGCTGAGACTCTGCTGCCTGCAGAGTGGAGAGAGTGCAGGCCAGGGCAGATCTTTTTGAATGCTTCCTGAATGGGGTTCCCCCAGCTGCCCAGACGAGTATCCACAAGGCACAGAGCAATGTGGTAGTTATGTCCAGGTTCCTTACAGTGTCAAAGACTTCCCAGAGCCCTACAGGTAATGTCCCCACATTTACCGATGTTTTCCTCAAACCTGATTCTTTTCCTATATGGGCTCTGAGTCTCACGACATCTCAAAAGGCAGCTGGCCTTCTCCCTGTCTGTATTAGTTTCCTATGGCTGCTGTAACAAGTTAGCACAAACTTTGTGGCTTAAAGCAATCCCAATATATTCTCTTACAATTCTGGAGGTCAGAAGTCTGAAATGCTTCCTCAGGGCTGGGTCCTCTCTGGAGGGTGTTGGAACAATCAGTTTCCATGCCTTTTCCAGCTTGAAGAGGCTGCCTGCATTTATTGGCTCATGGCTCCCTCCTCTCCCACCAAAGCCAGCAGCATCAGGTCTCTCCTCTGACCTCTGCTCCTGTCCGTCTGCTCACTCTGCCTCATATCCTCCTACCTTCCTCTCACAAGGACCCTTATGATCACATTGGGCCCACTGGATAATCCAGGGTAACCACCTGCATCTCCAATCTGTAATGGCTGCCAACTCCCTTGTCCCATGTCAGGTAATACATTTACAGGGTCTGGGAATCAAGGTGTAGACACCTCTGGGGAACATTATTCTGCCTACCACAGTATCAAATACACAGCTTTAACCAGAGTTTCTGATGCTTTGACATCTGGGTCTTGCTGATTTTATCCCACAAGGATTACAGAAGAATCTGCAGGACTCAACTACTGGGAATCTGACTGTGAAGGAGAGGTGGGAGGAGCTTGCAACCATCAGCACAGAGATCCTGGCAGCCTGAGTTCATACCTGCAGTGCCCAAGTAGTCATCCCAACTAGCAACCAAAACCAGTAAAGGATACTACCAGGAAAGAAACTATAGGCCAATATCCTTGATGAACCTAGAAGTGAAAATTCTAAAAAAAAAATAATAGCAAATTGAATTCAATAGCCCATTTAAAGGGTCATTCACCATGATCAAATGGGATTTATCCATGAGATGCAAGGATGGTTCAACACAGGCAAATCAATCAATGTGATACATCACATTAATAGAACAAAAGACAGAATAAGCATTTGACAAAAAAAAAATCCATTTGTGATAAAAACTCTCAACAAAATAGGCATAAGAAGGAGCACATCTCAACATAATAAAGGCCATTTATATACTAAACCCACAACAAACATTGTAATATTGAAATATTGAAAGCTTTTCCTCTAAGATCAAGAACATAACAAGGGTGCCCACTATCACCACATTTTTCAACATAGTACCTGAAGTCCTAGCTAGAGCAATCAGGCAAGAAAAAGAAGTAAAAGGTATCAGAATTGGAAAGGAAGAAGTAAAATTGTCTCTATTTGAAGATGACATGATTTTATATATAGAAAACCCAAAACAATCAAAAAGCTGTTAAATCAAATCAACATATTGAGTAAAGTTGCAGACTACAAAAGTAACATAAAACTTTCAGTAGCATTTCTACTTTCTGAAAAAGAAATAAAGAAATTGATCCCATTTACAAGGTCAAAAACAATAAAACATGTTGGAATAAATCTAATCAAGAAGGTGAAAGATCTCCACTCTGAAAACTACAGACATTGAATAAAGAAATTGAAGAAGACACAATAAATGGATAGGTATCCTATGTTCATGGATTGGAAGAACTAACATTCTTAAAATGTCAGCACTATGAAGAGCCTTCTATGAATTCAATGCAATCCCCATTAAGATTCCAATGGCATTTTTTACAAAAGTAGAAAAAACATTCCTAAAATGTATATGGAACCACACACAAAAAATAATTTTAAAAAACTCCAAATAGCCAAAACAATCCTGAGAAAGAAGAAAAGCAAGAGGCATCACACTTCCTGATTTCAAGCTATACTACAAAGCTGTAGTCATCAAAACAATATGGTACTGGCATTAAAACAGACAAATAGACCAATTGAACAGAATTAGGAACCCAGAATATACAAGCACATACAGACATAATTTTACTGCATTTTGCTTTACTGCACTTCTCAGATACTATTTTTTTAATAAATTGAAGGTTTGTGGCAACCCTAGGTCCAGCAAGCCTGTAAGCACCATTTTTCTATCAGCATTTGCTCACTTCCTGTCTCTGTGTCACATCTTGGTAATTCTCACAATATTTCAAACATTTTTCATTATTATATTTGTTATGGTGATCTGTGATCAGTGATTATGACTTACTGAAGGCTCAGATAGTAGTTAGTATCTTTTAGCAATAAAGTATTATATATATATAATTATAGACATATTATTCCATTAGATATTATTATAGATATTATACATATATATAAATGTAATAAAATATATATAATAGAATTTTTGTTTTGATATTATACATATATATAAATATAATAGAATATATATATATACACATTGTTTTTTAGCCATTAAAAAAATGAGCAAATCCCATCATTTGAGACAACACTGATGGACCTTGACGGCATTATGCTAAGTGAAAACAGTGAGGTAGAGAAAGACAAATACTGCATGATCTCACTTCCATGTCAAATAAAAAACAAATAAATAAATAAATTCACAGAAAAAGAGATTGTGGTGGCCAGAGGCAGAAGATGGAGGGAGTGGGAATTGGAGGAAGGTGGTCAAGAGTACAAACTTCCAGTTACAAGATAAATAAGCACCAGGGCTGTGATGCCCAGCATGGTGACTAGAGCCCATACTGCTGTGTGACGTGTGGGGAACTTGTTAAGAGAGTGATTCCTAGAGAGTTCTCCTCACAAGGAGAGCTTTTTTTTTCTTTCCTCTTCTTTTCTTTTTATTGTATCTCTGTGAGATGATGGGGGTGAGCTGATCCTGTTGTGGGCATTTTCTAATGATGTATGTAAATCAAACCACCATGCCACTCACCTTAAACTTACAGAGTGATGTATGTCAATTACTTCTCAATAAAACTGGGAAAATGCAGGTGCCTAGGTCCCACCTGTGATCTGAATGTCTGAGTGGCCCAGGAATCTGCATTTCTAAGCAAGTTTCTCCCTCCACTCAAGTAATGATAATGCTTACTGAAGTGTAAGAACCACAGATTCAAGATCAACTGACCTCTAGCCCCTCCTGTTCCGGCACAGAGCCCAAAGTGGCCCTTGGGGGAGCTCAGAGGTGAAGTCTGAATAGAACTTCACCAAAAAGAAGTGCAGTCAAGGGTGCAGAGCCTCTGCTGGACCCTCCTTTCTAGGGGGTGATGCTGGGTTGCAACTCCTAAGTCTCTAGGTGGCTCATTCAGAAATCTGACTCAGTCCCTGCCCCCAGAAGCTCCCAGGTTCATGAGGAAGCTCATTATCATGCCTGCAGAGGACGCAGGAAACTAAGGCTTGCCCACTTTTGCAGAGGAGCAGTCAATGGGACTGGCACTCGAACCCCAGCCTCTTCCCGAGGGGAGGAGTAGGGCAGGTGTGCTGTGGGGGCTGGAGTGGTGACTTGGGGGAGGGCATGGGGATGGGATGGAGGGCTGCTCAGGCCATTTGTGGAGGACTTTGATGCCTGGGTAAGGAGCTTGCCCCTAACCCAAGGGCAGTAGAATTCAGACAAAGAGTTTTGAGTAGGAGAGAGACATAATGGAAGCAGTGATTTAAGAAAATTAATTTATCAGCAGGGTGTTGGGTGGACTGAAAGCGTCTGAGATGAGGAAGACAAACTGGGATGAGGCAGCAGCTGAGAAATGGGGGGAGTCTCGGGGCCTAGTAGTGGACACAGGAGAGAACAGGGGACTTAGAGACCATTAGGAGATGTGTGTCACTATCCTTTGCCTCTGCTAGTGGGATATGGGATAAACATAAGATAACACCATTGAAAAAGAGGACACTGAAGAAGTAGAAAGGTGGTAGAAGATGAAGAGCACGTGGGAAAATATTAAGTAAAAATAACAGATGCCACTTACCACACACCTACAACGGGCTACACCATGCTCTCCTCTCTTTTCCTACCTTACCTTCAACTCTTACAATAGCTGGAGGTACTTATTAGTATCCCTGTTTCACAGATGGGGCAAATCTCAGAGAGACTAAATGATTGAGCCATATAGCAGAGCCTAGATTTAAATCCAGCTCTGTCTAGTTTAGAATCCTGAATTCTTTTCAGCCTAGGATGTTGCATCCCTACATTTAAAAGTAAGGAAAATTAGTGTAGCTGCTGTGGAAAACAGTATGGCAGTTCTTCAAAAAACTAAAAATAGAATTACTGTATAATCCAGCAACTTCATTTCTGGATATACACCCCAAAGAGTTGAAAGCAGACTCTCAAAGAGATATTTGAACACCCATGTTCATAGTAGTGCTAGGCACAATCCAAATATCAGTGGATGGACAGATAAACAAAATGTGTTCCATACATACAATGGAACATTACTCATCCTTAAAAAGGAATGAAATGCCAACACCTGCTACACCATGAAGGGACTTGGAAGACATGCTAAGTGAAATAAGCCAGACACATAGACAAACGGTTCCACTTATCTGAGGTCCCAGGAATCATCAGACTCACAGAGACAGAAAGTAGGATGCTAGTTGCCAGGCGCTGGAGGTGGAGGGAATGGGAAGTTTGTGTTGAATGGAGACAGAGTTTCAGATTTGCATGATGAAGAGTTCTGGAGACAGACGGTAGTGGTGGCTGTGCAACTGAACCACCACTTAAAGGTGGTGAAGATAGTAAATTTTGTGTTACGCGTTTTTACCACAATAAAAAGAATTGGAAAAAATAAGGAAAGAAAATTCCTCCGTAATGATTTTCAAAATATCCCTGAACCTCTCCACCGCCCCCTGCCCTGGCCAGAGTCCTTCACAGAAAGCCCTCAAGCCGACAGCACCCTCGCCATGGCCCGCAGTGTCCTGCCTCTATGAGAGCCGGCTGAGATCCAGTGGCCTCTGTCTCTGTAGCTGTGGCCTTGCCTCAGTCTCCCTACCTGGTCTCACTAGACGGAATCCCGTGGAACCAACTGAAATTTCCACAGGTCCAGAAGAGCTGAGTAACAGCAGTTTCATATGGATCAGCCTGATGGGAACCTGAAAATTCTGAACAGAAGGAAACTCTGTCCCTGAACTCAGAGATTCTTAGTTATAAAGTCACTGAAGTCCATCTCCTGTCAAAAGATGGGATGTATCCGGATTTACCAGACTGGCTGGAGGCCCCTGGGCCTTCCCGTACACTTGTCTGCTTGTGGCGGGGAGAGGTCATCCTGGGAGCCCGCCGCTCTGCAGACACACAGGGCTACACGTATGAGGGACACCCGCAGAGACGTGGACTCACCTGCTAGTGAAGAAGGGCAGTGGCGCTTAAGAGGTGGCAGCCTGTTAGCCAGTTGGCAGGGCCTCCGATCACTACTCTCTTCCCCCCCGCACTGCCACACCTGTGACAACTCCAAGATGTGAACAAAAATGTAAGCATCCCGTACACATCTGATTGTACCATATATACACATATTTCCAGCAGTTGCATTCATTTGGATAAATTAACAATTAATTAGTTATTATTAACTAAGATAAGTAATTCCACTAACTAGGAAACAATGGTAATAGGCCTCTTTTGCCATATAAGATGACATGTGCCATAGAAGGTTAAATATTAAGAGAATGGATTTATAATAAAAAACATTGTTTTAATCTTTTCAGCAGTAAATTTAAAAATGGTTTTGCACATTTTCATATGAAGAGGTGCTAATTACTTTAAATGAGTCTTACTCAATGGCAACATGCTGATTCTAATTTACTCCATTGAGCACCAGCCAGGCGCCAGTACTGGGCCCACTCCTGCTGGAGCCATGCTCTGGTGGGGATGCTGGATCACAAAGGGCCAATGACTGTTTCTGCTTGGTCACATGGGGGCGTTTTCACAGAAGAGTGAGTGGCTGGGTTTGGAGGAAAGGTCTGGAGAGCTGTCGGGAAATCTTAGGAAAAGAGGGGAAGGAACCCCCAGTACCTGTCTGAAGCTCTGTGGAAGATGGGGACTCTGAGCTGCACCAGGTGCATGCAGGGTGATAAAAAGCAAAGCTGGCTCATACTCTGGTTAAAAAACAAAAACAAAAACAAAACAGAAAAACAACCCTTCACAAAGGAAAAGAATGAGACTATGGTGGGTGTGCAGTGGTCAGATGGAAGAGGACCTGAGTCCCTGGCTGTGGTGTCGGCCTTCCTCTGCCAGGCAACAGGGAATTGCCTTTCATGGGGAATTGCACCATCAGGTTGGATTTTAGCACAGACACTTTGACCCCAAGAGGGGTCAGAGACAGAAGGGGGAAGAAGAGCCAGTTGCCAAGCCCTGAGAGGGTTGGGGGTGGGTGAGACAGGGGGAAGGGAAACAGTGAAGGCGAATGTTTGATATCTAGATGGGAACGATGGTTACAGGAGAGGTACATGTGTCAAAGCTCATCAAGCAGTACACTGAGATTTGTGCATTTTAGTGTATGTACCACAACTAACTAAATAAAAGCTGATGTTCAAGAAAGAAGGCAAAAACCAAATCCAAGATCCCCATGGGAGGGGACAAGAAGGGAGGTGAACTGAGTTGGCAGGGGAGGAGGCAGGGGCTGGGCTCTGGGCTTGCTGCTCCTGGGGGTGCTGAGGCCTGGCCAACACCCCTTGGCACAAAGGAAAATGAGGGCGGCAAATTATACTGTCAACCACCCAAATCAGGGTGTTTTAAGATATACAGAACTCAGGTGCAGGCATGGGCTTTGCACAACCTGCCGTGATCCTGAGGAATAGAGACCTGAGGAGCGCCCCCATAGACGCTTTGAGCAGACACCAGCCGGGTTTCAGCCACAGACCCTCTAGCCACCACCACCTCTCCTTGAAGGTCGCTGTGCTGGCAGCTTCCCCAAAGGGCTCAGATCCCTCCATCCTCCTCTGTCCTGGGGAGACCAGAGGGCTCCCTGGGGACGAGCTCCTGGACCTGGCTTGTTCCTGGGTATGGAGGAGGAGCAGCCCAGAATGAGGATGTGCAGGATCCCACCAGGAGGGGGCAGCTTTGCCCCTCAGGATCCTCTGAAGGAAGGCTGGCTGGGCAGGGAGGTAGGGCACCATGCCGGGAGCCGGGAGCTGGGAGCCAGCCGTGCCTTGTACAGGCTCCCAGGCCAGGAGTCAAGGCTGCATAAGTCTGTGAGGGTGGCTGTGTCCTCATCCAGAAATGTTTTGTGGACCCAAACTGGTCGGTGCTTGCATCTTGCTTAACAAGGAATTTGCAAAGCAGAGACACCCAGAGCAAGGCAGAGCAGGGCTGGATGGGGGCTATTTGAGAATTTTTGTCATCCTGACTGCCCTCGAAGTCTGCAATGAATCTGCTAGTGCCTTCCACCCAGATATCCTGGACCAGTGGTCAAAGGGGTCTGTGAACCGTTTTCAACACTCCACACAGTGCACACTCCCTGCCCCCCCTCCACAGGGCACACACCCATGGGGCCCTGGCTTAGGAGGGTTTGGTTGGAAACATCACCGCAGAGCAGTAACTAGGGTCTCCTGCCACCGGCAGCTAATACTGACCATCCCATCTGCCACTGTCACTTAGAGATTGGGAAGTACATTTATTATGTCCTAGATCTATCCAAGCACAGGTTTTATGGAGGAAAAGTAATGCAGGGTGGACAGGTGGGCCTTCTGTCCCTCCAGCAGAGGGGAGGAGTTAGAGCCAAACCACTCTGCTCTCAGCTCCAGCTGCTGCCCCGGCCTGGCCCCTCCCTCCTCTCCCCAGAGAGCACCAGTTCGGGCCCACACTCCGTGTTCCTCCCCAGTGTCAAGCAAACGCTGAGGGTTGGGACCCAGGGCCGAGCAGCTCAGGGAAGGCAGTGGGTGGAAGTCTTCAGACATGTATGGGGGCTTCCAGGTGAGACCTCGGTAGGTAACTATCCTTGGCGCTACCGCAACCGGGCGGCGGGCCTTGCATTTTCCAACTGAAAAGGTCAGTGGTATAAAGGAAGGGGGACAGAGAGTCCCCTTGGCTGCCTACAGATTAATCTTTCTTTTCGAGGACAGAGATGATGAGACCAGCTCTGTCTTCCATCCCTCTTAGCCCCACCGTGACATTCAGTTGATTATCCTGCTGGAGGCTAGGTTGACTGGAGCTGGTAATGAATTTAATGTCGCTGTGCATTGCATCAGCCGCCCTGTACTTGTCAGCACGTGTCCTCTGCCTTCAACCTCCTCCCCTGTCCCCCAGACCCCTGACTGCTCCAAGATGTGCCCCCAGCCCTGGACAGACTGTGTGGGACTGGGGGCTGCAGAACAGAACTGCCCACCTTCCGTCTCTCACAGACCCGAGGCAGCCCTCGGATCTCCCCAGGATATTAATCTCACCACATGGAATTTCTTGGTTCCTGGCTCTGAGCCTTGTTTATGACAGATTCTGGGCTTAAATGCTGAGGGCGAGCCAAGGGAAAGGGATATAGAAGGGGTGTGTGTGGGGGTCAGCTGTGCAATGCCCAGGGCAGGGAGCTGGTCACCCAAGGCCCCTGGGGACAAGGCTTGTCCTTCCTGCCCTCCAGCAGGATGGGGGTTAAGGGGGCCAGTCGGTTGGAAAGCTGGGCAAGTACACTTGTTGGAGAGGACAACACAGCTTCCATCTCCTTAGAATTTGCAACCTGATGAGATGAAATTTCCACGGGCAGGTAGGTGCTGCGATTAAAAACAGACAGGGGCTCTGCCCAAGGTTATGGCTGCCAGGGAGCCTTTTTGAATTAACACAGTGAGAACCTGCAAATGAGGAAACCCAGAGGCTCCTGGGGAGGGGTGGGCAGCTGCTGCAGCCTCTGAGCAGGGGGTCCCCTAGTCTGGCACCGACCCTCTGCCTGAGTGAGGTTTTCATGCACAGGGATGAGGCTAAGACATCCTGGCTCAGAGCTGAGCTTCATCCAGTCATTCCAGCCCCCAAATAATACCTCCTCTCATCTATGAAGCACCCTCCATGTGTTCCACACTGAGCTTGGTGAAGGTGAGTCGCTCTCTGTATGGACTCAGCCAGGGAGGAAGGCTGCCCTGGGCCTCTGGCGCCTGAGTGTGTGAGGCCAGGTATACAACCACTGGAGGAGCTGTCGCTGGGCTGAACCCCACACTGTGGCCACACAGAGGACCTGCATCTGCCCTTAGGCCTCAGAGCGGAGGCCTTGTGGGCTCGACGGGCCTCACTGGAAGCCGCAGAGCATTCCCAATCATGCAACCCAGCCTGCAGGCTGGCTGGCATTTCTGGGCACAAAGTTGCCTGTGCTTTAAAATGATGCCCAATTCGTCTCATCCACACCGTTTTCCATGGATTCAGGTAGCATTTAGGAATTACCTGCCAGGTGACAAGAGCTGAGCTGAATCTACATGTACCCAAATAGAAAGACAGTGTCCCCACTCCCAAGAACCTCCCAGCCAGAGAGAGACACATAAGCCTCTGGACACGCAATGCTGTGTGGTCAGCATTGCCAGGATAATGCCGTGGTTACCAAGGGGACTCTGGTGTCTGAATGCTGAGGGCCCAACTCCAGCTGCACCGCTGATAAGCCCAGAGGCCTTGACAAGGGACATGACTTCTCCGACTTCAGGTTCCCTGTCTGTGAAATTAGGATCATGACAGCCCCTGGCCCCCCACCACCGGTGTAAGTCAGGGCATATGAAGTACGTAGCACATGTACCCGCAGGAAGGGGTAGATGGGAGGGTAAGGAGGACCCTGGCCTCAGCCTGGGAGGCAGGCGACTGGAACAGCCTCTGGGAATCCTGCTCTAGAGCTGGTTCGTGGCCAGCAGGGTTTACTCCTCCTCCCCCTCTTAAAAAATTTATGATAATCGCTAAGGTCACTGTTCAGCCTCATGAGGCCCAAGGGGAACACAGAGAGTTAGTGCTCAGGAGATACAGAGGTTCTGTTCATTTCTGAGATGTTGGGGGTGATGGTTGCAACAACAATGTGAATGTGCCTAATGCCACTGAACCATATAATTAAAAATGGTAAGTTTACATTATGTACATTTTACCACGATAAGAAAGTGCCCTTTGGAGGCTCACTCACTCACTAGTGATTGGCAACCTTAATGAGAGGTGAGCCTCTGGCTGGGACACACCTGCTCTGGATGGTCTGGATCACACACAGAGCTGCTCGGACCCTTGACCCTGTGAAGTCTGTCCATGACTGGGTTTTGTGTCATCATGGCTTTTCGAGTTGGGGAGAATCCCTTTTTCTTCCTTGACTAGAATGCCAAGATGATTAAAGAGGTGCAACCCACAAGGAGGTAGCCTGTGAATGCCAAAGTCAAGCCTCCTGGCCCTGTGGGGGCCCTCGTAGTGGGGAACCCCAGAACACACAGCCTGCCCGCCCCCAGTACCGGCTCTGCTCCTTTACCTCTGCCCCTCCACCCATCCAGCCAGCCGCTCCAGGAGACGTGTCAGCCCCTTTAATGAGGGGACTGAGCACTGAAGGACAGACCATCATCCCACTGGACAGGGAGCAGCTGGGAGAAAACTGCTCCTTCCAGGTGATGCCCATCTGATCACTGAGCCAAAGAGGGAATCAAGGTCCAGACAGCCGCTTCTGCAGCTGACTGTTTCTCAAAGCAGAGCTCATCAGGTGCAGGAAGGCTTATCCAGGGCTTCGTGACCTTGGGCAGTCCATCACCTTTGCAGCAGTCTAAACAGGCAGGAAAATGATGGAGGTGGCAGCCTGGCTGGGCAGGGCAACTCGGCCCCAGGCCAGAAGCCAGAGCAGGCTCAAGGGAGCAGCTCGCCTCCAGACATTTCCTATTAGGGCAAGAAGACAGCGAACGTGAAAGGCGGCATCTGCACTCTGCGTTTAACTTTGGTAGCTGGAACCAGACATTGTGGCTCTAATCCACCTGAAAGGGGGCAGAAAGTGGCTGGCTGGGTAAGGCCTGAAATTTTTGTAGAAATAGTGATTATTTTCCCCTTGGAAATGGCCTTTTGGGATTCTTGTCCTGTGCTAGACCCCCAGAAGTGCCCCCATGTTTTCCCAGCAGGGGCTATGCAGGTGAAGGCTGACCCATTGCCCCTGCCCTCTGCCCCCACCCACTACCCCAATGCCACTTAGCCACCCCCACCCAGCTCCCCACCATGCAGCTCAACTCCATCCTGCCTGCCTCTCCCCTGCCCACCCTGGGAGCTCCGCTAGGAGGACCAGGCCAGACCAATCTGTCTTTCCCGGCACTGTCAGCCCCCAGCTGGGGTGGTCTCCCCAACCTCTGTGTATGACAGGGCACTGTGACAACCCTCACCTTCCCTGAGGTTGGCTCTGAGCCAGGGCTGTCCCAGCACTCTGCCTGCAGTCTCAGTCAGACCTCACAGAACCCCTCAAGGTGGGCATTTCTTGCAAGGGAGGTGGGGAGGGGCTGTCAAGTGGCTGTTGCTGGTGCCAGAGCCTGCGTTTACCTGGTTCTGCCCCTCCTGACCTGGGGCAGGGCATGTAGGGTCTCTGTGCCTCAAGTTCTCCTTCTGCAGGATGGCAGTGATATTAACAGCACCTGTTCACAGGTGTCAGCTCCTCCAGGGGTGTCAGCATGGGGGTCACAGGTTCGCGCAGCAGCCGTAACACCATTATGATCTTTGACACTGATTTATTGACTGTGCTTCTTCAAAAGTGTTTTGCTGCCTCTCTGATCTGTCTGTCTACTCATGCCCATATAGGGGCTCTGCAACATAGGTTTTTTTTTGCAGCGTAAGTTTTTAAGCTGTTCAGGAACACAGAAGTACCAAGTAGGAAGATAAAGAAGGTAAGGAGTTGTCAGCATAGACCCAGGACCCACAGTCCCCTGGTCATCCATAAACTAGAGCTGAAAAAAATCAAATGTTTATTCTCACTAATCTCTAACTCAATTGCAGCATTTTTTTTCATTGTGGATATAGGCAATGACCACAATAATATTAGCAGAACCTGGTCTTTGTCACCAGTGGCAATCACATGGCAGTGAAATCGATTTCTCAAAATATCATTGAGTCTCATTGCTATTTCAAAGTTACAGTGCTTATTAGACAGGCTGCTGGACCTTATTTACTGCACTAATACTGAACCACAGTGTTTCTATATACAAATTTTATTTTTTAAATATTTTGATAAACTGTTTTTCAGGATCATTGGTTTTTCTTGTAAGCCTACATATTAACTCCACTTTTTTTAAATTAACACTATTCTGAGAAGGGGTCCAAGGCTTTACCAGACTGCTAAGAGGTCCAGGGGAACCAAACAAGGGGTCAGAACGTCTGGTTTGGGTCTAATATCTCCTCTGGTGCTCAAACCTGCCCCTCTTCAAATGAAAGCTTTTGGTTGGACACTGGGTGTCAGGGAAGGAGGGAGATGAGGGGAACGAGATGAGCCCTCAAGTAACAGTCTTAGCGGTCAGGGGAAAGGTGTGAGCCTGGAAAGAAGCCTGGTGCAGGCAGGAGGCTTGGCATCCATGGGTTAGACCTTTTCGCTCCCTGGTGCTCAACTCTAAACCAATGGCTGCTGCATCTGTTCAGGATTCTCTGAGTTTTTGTACCTATTGGAGGTGTGTGCTCAGATCTCTCCTACTCCACAGATTTTTATTGTATCAGATAAGGTGCCTTCATGTTCTGACACTGCTTTGGATGAGCCCTGTTGCTAAGAAGCAAATCCCAACTGTGCCTTTAAACACCCATTCCCATAATGGCTCACCCCCCTCACTCTACCCCACACAGTCTTCTTTAGGGCTGCTGAGGTTAAACTGCTACCTGTTTGCCTATGGCCTCATTCAGAGCCTTAAGGAAAATCCAGTGAACTGCTCTAGTTACCCAAACAGATGAACTACCTGCAGAGCACGAAGTGTCGGCCTTAGGCAAAAGGAGGGCATCATCCTGGCCAGAGCTGCCTGGGAACCCCGCAGTAGGCTCCTGAACGGGGGGCACCTGAGAGCCACCAGCTCAGGCGGAGAGCATGAGAGGGGCCCCTGGAGGGCCCCTGGAGGGTCCCTGTAGAGACACCTGGAGGGACCGGGGAGCTGGGGCCTACTCCAGGGGTTCCTATCATCATTTCTAGGAACCACTGACCTCAGTTCCCTACAGAGAGGTTCCAAGTTAAACATGCTGTAGCCCAAATCCAGCCCCACTGTCTCTCTAGGGAAGGCTCCAGTCTGCCCCAGTGTTTCTACCAGACAGTGAAGAGCAGGGCCTGGGGCCTAGAGTGCCTCCCCTCCCTGCAGAGAGGGCTGAACCGGCAGCTGCTCCTGGCTCCCTCCTCCCCCAGCCCTGGCTTCGGG